ATTATTATAGCTATTATTCTGATATCTGAGCTTGTCTTTAGATCACGTGACCTCCATTGATGGCTATGCTCTGTTATAACCTCTTAAGAGATTTTAACAAAAAACCAAACTTTTTAGAAAAAAAACAGGGACTAACTTTGAAAGTAAAAATGGATTCATTAAACATGGGTAAGTATGGGAAAATTGTTGTGTACTCCAGGAAAATTCATTTTTTGGCCAAAACAAAGAGTTATTATACCTTTAATTGCTGTGAATTTAATCATTTGCTCTGTTGTGGCAGATTAAAATAGCCCCTTCTGAATAGCTTGTTATTTCAGATTGAAGTTCACTAAGGAATGTCCTGTAGCATCTCCCTAAATAGCGGGCGCAGTGCCATCTGCTCGCGTGCAGATTTAATTGCTTCCATCTGGCCAAAAACCACAGGGTCGCGATACCGAAAAGTGCACATATTTTCCGCCGGTCTGGTAGAGGGTAATCATGAGGTAGGTAATGAGACATAAATTGTATGAAAGATGTGTCACCTGTCATAAACTTTTTGTACATAATTCCACATGATCAAGTTACATGAATAACTTGTGAGCTCATTAGAACCTGCTATACATGGGGCGACCCAGTAAGGTCTTTGGACATGCAAGTTGACTCGGTTGCTGTATAATATGATTCGGCTTAGAGATTTACAAACACGCAGCTTCGGCTATGAAAATATTGAATATGTAAAGGCGTAATTGCTCTTACTAAAAATATTTGGATTCATCTAGATGAGCAACGTTTTATACTGAGGTTTCACATTACAAACAGTTAAAAGCTTCACTACATGCATTTCTTTGTACCGAAATGAACTTTATTAACTTCAACAATGATAAAGAAAATGACAAAGTTAAATTTTGTAAGATGATTACTTTCTTACTTTCAAAAATGCTGCTGTATTAATCAGGTTGAAAATGCATATGAAACGAGTATATGTGTTAAATTAATGCAACTTAACCCGACCAGATGCCACAATATAATTTCAATTAGTATTTTTAAAATAAATACCACATGATTCCGTTACTTTATTCCGTTCGTTTCTTTTTTCGTTGCATTACAAAATGTAGGGAGGTATAAATAGGTCAAGTTAACAAGAAGACATTTTAGAGAAGGTGTAGTTTTAAAACTTTTTTGACTGACCGAAAAAATAATATTGGTTATTTCCAGGCATGTTGTTTTCATTTGAGTTATATAAGAGATTGGTAGTGATATTATCTTTAGAAAAGCGTGCCCTATTTTTTTAAATATGTATGAAAGGCAGTCTTTAGGTACACACGAAAGAAGTTCTTACCTAGCTCTGCAAGAGCCGCCGCCGGCATACTGCCCCCCCCCCCCCAAGATGTTTCAATCCCTGCGGAGAGCACGAATAATGGAATGGATATTCCAAGCACGACCCAACCCCTGTACAGACCAGAAAATACCATTGCTCTCCAATATGTCCAGGTCTCCAATGTCGGGTTCAAGGAGGTTCACACGGTTTCCAGAAATCGGTCAGAAATATCCAGGAAAATCTTCATATGCTTTCACTAAGTAAGAATAAAAACTGCTATATAGTTCTTGGTTGGGCAGTATGCCTGTCAGTTTGCCAAATGCAGTTGAAAAAATCCAAAAGACAGTGAAAGTACTTATGTCATCCACCTAGATTCGTTTACATGCTCAGCCCATGGCACAGGTGAACTAGACAGGAAAATTGTGCGACGTACACGTGCCCGTGGGCAACAGGGCTTTGGCCCGATTAAGAAGAGGGGACTAACTGCCCCTGCGAAAATTTGACAAACGTTTGCAGGGGTCAAATTTGGCGATCTACTATAAAGCTTGTCGTCTAATCTGCTAATAGACACTGAATAAATATCCCTTGGGGAGGTATTCAAGTCGGTGGACAATATTTGACCCTCGGACTATTTAGTCCCCAATTCTGAATGAGGCCTTTGGAATTATTGGAGTGTATTGTTATATAATGGCATAAAGGTAGGAAAATAACGGGCATAAACCTTCATCAGAGCCTCCGCAAAGAATATTCTCGAAAAAAAAGACCCATGATAATCGATTAGTACCTCTGTTTATGGCAAAAAAAAAAAAAAAAAAAAAAAAAAAAAAAAAGAAACGTGGTCATTTGTTCCCTTTTGTTATAAATGCAATGGGCTGGGCCTGGTTGCAGGTGCAGGTATTGGCTATATATGGGGACCATTTTTCAGGATCATTGGAATACATTTTTAATATTAAATACATACACTTGTTTATATCTTAAGTCAATCAAATAACGTGAAATTACTAGTTTAATAGACTTGTCTCCTGTAGTAGCCGACCACAGACTGGAAAACAAGGGAAATTAATCAATGACGCGTTTTACGTCAATGGTAGACAACTCGCCGAGTCCAACATGGCGGACACTATACGAGGGTTGATTGATAAGTAGTGAGCCTCATGTGGAAGGTATTAAGCAGCGATATCCCTTTTCAGCCCTTCTATTCCCTGACTTTTTAAAGGTGTGTAGCCGAAGTTTGTTGTCATTTGGTTAGTTTATGTCGACGAGGCAGCGGGAAGCTCAGGAAAGGTGTACTGTTCCTCCAGGACAATGCCCCTGCTCACAAGTCTGTCATTGCCATGGCTGCAATCAACGAGTGTGGCTTTGAACTGATAGAACATCTGACTATTATATATTTCCCAAATTGAAAAAGGCCATTTCAGGTGCTCACTTTGTGTCAGATGACGACGTCATACTTGGAGTGGAGGGGTTTCTGAACGGCCGGCCAAGAGAAGGGCTTCTATAAAAGTGGCATAGAGGCTCTCAAAATTCGCTGGCAAAAGTGTATATATACTCAAGGAGACTATGTTGAAAAATAAAGAAAAATACTTGTAAAATGTGTACCCCTTCTATATGAGGCTCACTACTTATCAATCAACCCTCGTACACCTTTCCTGAGCTTTCCGCTGCCTCGTCGACATAAACTAACCAAATGACACCAAACTTCGGCTACACACCTTTAAATAGTCAGGGAATAGAAGGGCTGAAAAGGGATATCGCTGCTTAATACCTTCCACACGAGGCTCACTACTTATCAATCAACCCTAGTACATTGCAGGTGTAACAGGAATGGAAGTCCGCTATTTTTTCTTAGGAATATTGTTTATCAGCTTAATCATCCGGTACATTCACTGGGCGTTTGCATTTTTTTGTCGTTTATTATCTTTAAGCGTTTGCCAAAAACTCCTTATTTACTGCCTTCCATACATTCTTTTGGATAACAGAAATGTTTAGTGTTCTGGGACTATGACACTAATGAAAATTGACACTTGCCATCTTGACGTCATGATTGCGAATTTGGGGTAAAAATGAAAAAAAAAATCAGTTTCTCAAATTTCTCCTGAATCTGAGCAGCCACCGTGTTAACGCCAATTTAACGCCACCATTTAGTACTCCAACACCCTGCCAGCGATTTTTCTTAAAGGCTTTGGTTCATTTTTATCGTTGACAAAGGAAAATTAAAGCCTTTGTTATATGAAAATCTGTAATAAGGGGCTAAAAACTCCATAACAAAAATGTTGAAGCCAAGATGACGGCACGCAATTGAAGCTCATACACATGTGATCAAGTATGCCAATTTTCGTGATAAAACCTTGTTTAAGGATGAAGCTACGCCCCATACCGATTGCCGTTTCACCTCAAAATAGGTGTTAAATTGACGATGAAAGCTTTGAGTTGCCTATGATTATACAAAGCAACGAGTAAGGTACACGTCTGTATTTTGTATATTCCGAGGGAATTTCTACCGTTTTAAATCAGCACAACGGTATAGTTGCATTACTAATTAACTAGATGCAGGAAAAAAACTCGTTTCGGTATCTGGATGATTATAAACCCTTACACTACCCTTACATGAGAAGAGAGAGTCGGTGCTCTGTAAAGTATAAATTATCAGTGCCAATTTCTTACACTACACAAACACTGAGAATAAAATTGGAGTCATTTGACTCTCTAGTCAGAGTCCAGCACCCCTTGACCCCGATGGAGTTAACTTGACTCCTATGTAAGGGTCAAATTACCCCACTAGCAGAGCTTTAGACTCTCTTATCAGAGTCAATCACCCCCTGGCTCTCATGAAGTCAATATGACTCTAAAATCAGAGTCAAATTATCGGGGGCCAGTGTCTGGCTGACCCCTTTCACCGACTCTTTTCGCTCGCTGGACAGTAAGCTTCTTTTCATTGCTTGTGATGGCAGTGAGCAGACGGCGTGGAAAGAACAGTTTTCATCATCCTCTGTCAGTATAAACATTACTTTATTGGCCATAGTTGGTTTTATGCATGAACAAGTGGTTTTCTGTGTGTATCTGCATGCAGAACTCGTGCACTTATTACTGGCCCGGGCTTTAGTTGCCACACCCTTTATGTGATATGTTGGCATACATGTCAGCAGGTTTTGTTTCCAAGTTGTAGGTTTGGGCCACTAATGCATGTCCGTGGAGAGGTATGCTCACTCATTAGTATATATATATATATATATATATATATATATATATATATATATATATATATATATATATTTGTCATGCTGTTTATTACCAGATTTACAAACTGTTTGTTATTGCTCTTTCCAGACCACAGGTGGCTGTATGGTCTAGTGGTTAGAGTGTCCACCTTTGGAGCGGGAGAACGTGTGTTCGAGTCCGTCCGGACACTCAGCAGTCTGAAATGGCCGATACTTGCTGTCTCTCCCTTTCGCACTATTGTAGTTGTTTTGTTCATGATGTGCCAAGAAGTCAAAAATGCCTTAATTTGGGGTCATGGTGACTCTTTGGTAGAGATAAATCAAGGGATGAAGGGATGTGTGAATGGGGTCAGTTGTGACCCTCCTGTGGGGTCTGGGATGGCAGTACTCCATTGGAGTCAACTTGATTCCAGTTGGGAGTTATTTTAGGCACCACTGCTGGACTCCAAGTTTGGAGCCACTTGGACTCTGATTTTATTCTCAGTGAATGATTTCTTAAAATGAAATTTCGGACAAATTTTGACTGTTTAAAGCTAAGAAACAACACGAGAAATCTGGTTTTGTAGTATTTACTCATACAAAATGCTATTCTTCATCAGTTCTATACTTTTCAAGTTCCTCCACTTGTTGATGAATATAATTACACCCGTTGTTAGGACAAACACACCGAAGCATGACGCAATAGATAGAAACACTGCGTAGTAACTCCTTGTGACGTCACGGATATAGCCTGAAGAAGTAAAAGAATGGATATAGATATCTACATACCGTCTCAAACAGCACAAATGAGCAATGATGGAGCTATGATGGATAATTTGCTAAACTTCTCTCTATCTTTCTCCATAAGTGCGTTCAGAACAGCGGGCTTACAGATCTGCCGATCAAATATGACGACCCACTAAAAAACTTGCCACGTAATTCCCGATTAGACAATGAGTAGATTCTCCATGGGGAGTACGCAACACGCATGCAAGTGGCCATATTTGATCCGCGGATCTGCTGGTCCGCTGTTCTAAACTCTCTCTCTCTCTCTCCATACAAGACCGTAGGCTGCAATATATAAATGATTTCTTCCACATTGTTTCTTAATAACATTTTAAATAAACATATAAATGTATACCTTGTACAAATGGAAGTATTTTCTTCATGTGTGGTTCGTATACAAAACTTTTTTTGAGGCATTATTAAAAAAAGGAGTAACAGAAAGACGGGAGGAGTGCTTACCAAGAGGATTTAGGACAAATAAATATGTTTTGAAAGAAGTCTTATAATTACCTGCCAAATAAGGACCCGTAGTAGCTCCAACGCCTTTACTTAAACGCGTTGTCATAAATAACGTGTCAACGTTCTCGCCGTCCATGACCTCATTGAAGACAGCAAAGTACCCGGCATTATATGGACCAAAAGCCAGACCAGTGACTGAAATATTGTATCACAATTTGGTTAAATGATAAAATATTGCTTGTTTTTTTGGGAATCATCAATTTAAGGAGATTTTGATAATCATTACATAGGAAAATATACATTAACATTTACGTTATTTTTCCTTTCCTCTGCAACTTGAAAATCTACTAATAATTTGCATGATCAGGTTTTTCATATTTCTCTCTGTAAGACGTCCTTAAAATATCATAGCTAACATAAGAAAAGAAAATTAGTAAATAACATCAAAATGGTGGAATAAAAAGTTTATCATTGTAAGAGTCAGGTAAGTAAAGAACACTTACTGGCACTATATATAAACGCACCAGTCAAAGATGTCGAATATGCGGCGATGATATTATTAACTGCGAGCAAAGCTGCTGCAACCACATTCACCACCATTAACTTTCCTTTCAGATAGTCTCCTACAAAAGAGGAAAACATCTGTCCTATCAGGCCCGTGATTCCTAGAACAGTCATCACATATTCTGCTTCGTTCTCCTTATATCCGAGGTCGGTCACGTGTTTTGGCTGAAAAAGAGAAAATTGACAAATTATTTAATTTACTGTGTTAATTCTATTCTAATATTTATTCATATCTGCTTATGCATAATACGAATTCATGCAATTGTTATTATTTTACATACTTATTGATTTTGTTCTTATTGTTATTACTAGTGTCATTTTCGCTGAACCGAAGAACTGAAAAAAAAAAAAAAACTGATCACTTATGTATGATATGATGTTTTTTATTTCCCTTCCACTTGTCTGCAGTTCTACAAGTGTCGAAGAATAATCAGTATAATGACCATCTTAAAGGTATCACAAATGTTCGCTGTCTGTCTCTGTATGTCGTTATTATTGACCAGGCTGTGTTCACAAATTTTCAAAACGGGCACATATACCAATTCAACCTGTCACAAAGTCAGCATGTGTATTTATCGTTACTTTCATACTTACTAGTATAACAAAAGGCAAAAAGAAAGCGAACCCCTTACAACATATTGCCATGGCCCATAGTCCATAAATGGTAATTTTGGAACCTATAGTCCAAGGTGGTTTTTGCAGGAAGTCTGACCTGAAAGACATGGAGTTCGATATTATTTCATTGCTTTAACTACCTTGACTAGTGATCTTGTATAAAATTGCTCTAGCAAATACTGTTGGATTTAGTCATAATATCAATGAGTCTGCTATTTTTATTTAGGGAACTGTCATGTCCAAATAAAAGGCACATTGATCTTAATTCAAAAATGAGATGTAAGATAAAGACATAAAATACTATAGCAGAAAATGTTGCATTATGGCTGTTTTCACGCACGCGCGCGCGCGTGTGTATTAACCTTTCGTCTAATGGACAGCAACGTTGTTCATTTGATGACTTTGGCGGGTGTCCGTATACCAGTAGTAGAAGAATACCCAAAGAAGAAATGATAACTGCATAAATTCGGAACGCCCAACGCCAACCCAGTGCCGGATTTGAGCACATCAGGGCACTAACGTTGTTCACAATTACCGAGCCTGAAATTAAAATAATAATGCTGTTATTTTTGGTTGACATGTGACAGACCTAGGAATCGTCAAAGTACAAGGAGTGTGATGGGTCGATTTAAAGGTTTGTTAAAATGTTCAGATTCAATTGATTTAGTTTTCACCCAGAATTACTAAATTGTGTTTCATAAGCTTATCATTACGTAGTAATTTAATGGTTATTCAGAATAATTCTATTGCACTTTTTAATGTAATTTTAGATACTTTTGTTATAAACGGATTGATATTTTATGGAAATATAAATCGTATTAAATTTTCTTTTTCTCCTTTATTCATTATTGTTATGACTATGATAATATTTATTTTACCATTATATTCAATGGGTTGCATACTTACCAACAGGCATCATGTTGCTCAACGAACTGGTTGTAAACACGTGGTACTTGTGTGACCATGGAAACCAGAGAGCTATCACTGAATACGTACAAACGAGAACCAACCCGCAGCCAGTCCCATATATAATGCCAAAAGATATGGCCACAGTCAGGGCTCCATTTAAAAGTGACGTCAGCAACAGCCCCAGCACCATGAAGGTAAGTCCAATAGCTACAACTTGCCGAAGGTCAAGGTGACCAAACTCTGCCAATGCCAAATATATCAAGCTGCTAAGGGATAGTAGGAACACATAGTACACTGTCAATGGGGTACCTGTAAAACAAACAAACAAGCAAGCAAGCAAGCAAGCAAGCAAACAAACAAACAAACAGACAAACAAACGAACAGCGTTATATAGCTCCCCTCCAAATGAATAGGTCAGCAAAATATCAGTAAACATAAAATCGTGTTACATGTACTTAAGGTGGGACTGTACTCAAATAGGGATAAAAATCACGTTTTTATAGATAAAATCAATAGTAAGTCTTTAAAGAAAAATCCCCGAACCCCTTTTGTAGTACTTCGTTCAAATGTTATGATACCATTAAAAGCATGTTTATAGCTATCCAGGTGCCTGAGAAAATCAGAAAACCGAAAATGATGTTTTTACCCCAAAAATCCCAATATAACGTCACACGATGAACTTGGAGCTGTGTTTCCAGCATAATTAGACTTTTGAAGATACATTAAATGAGTGCAACAAGAATAAAAAAAGGCTAAGACCTTTAATTTAAGGTAAAATCTCCAACCTGCAGTCCTACCAGTGTTTTCCTCAACCGTTTGGTGTCTTTGCATGCTCCTTGTTGTCTTTCAGTCACTTCGCTTATACTTAAGTTGTCAGAACACTAACCCTACAGAGGTCTTTCTTATAATATAAGTCCTTTTTACAGAAATGCAATCTCTGTGACTAGAGAAGTAAAATTACAAAAGGAGCTTACGCCCTCAGCAAGCATAAGATGAACGTCAAACAAGCTGATAATGACAGTTAAAGATTATGGTTAACGAAAAGTCACAATGAACAGAAAAACGGAAGGCAGAGATGGTTTTAATCAGAAAATAATACCAAAAATATACTGCTTTTACGACTTATACCCTTTAATGTTGTTTTGGCGGCCATTTTGTTTTTTTTTTTAAATAGTAACATGCTAGGGTGATGTCAGTAATCGTAGTGTGTTCCTTCGACAGAAAATACATTCGCTACAGTTACAAATAAGGAATATGTCAATTTCCGACTGTTTTTGCATTTCCCCCCCACAAACTTGCGGTCATATTGCAAAAAGGTTCAATATTTCATAAGTAACAACCAAGCTAACTTTACATCCCTAGCCCCAAAGAAGGCATTTCTGTAACAAAAAAGAATAATCACAGGAAAGAAAATTGCAGGATACGACTTCTGCGCCTATGGGAGTGGCAAACTGGCCGGCCTATTTTGTAGGATTCTGGCACAGTAATACCCCAGTCTTTTTTAAGACCACGTGGCTTTGCTGCACCGTGTGACCCGTGATGGCAATTGGCTACATGCCTATATGGAGTGCTTTTTCTGCGTGGACCCTGGTTTAGGTTTACCTCCATTCACCAAGAGTTTTCTATCTAGGTTCATTCACCATGAGATTAAGCTTTTTGTTCCTGTTCACATCCGCTTGATGTCTCCAACCAAGCTAATTTTATTTCCCCGGCCCTAAAAAGGCATTTCTGTTAAAAAGTTAGGGTTAGGAACATTGTAGGATACGCCCACGATGGGAGTGGCAAATTCGCCTGTTCTGTACAGAACTTTCCAGTCTATTTTATGACCACGTGGCTTCGCTGCTCCATGTGACCCGTGATGGGAAATGCCCACATCCCCTTATGGAGTGTTTTTTTGCTGGGCCCTGGTGTAGGTTTACCTTCATTAACCCTATCAGTTTCCTATCTAGGTTTGTTCATTTCCCTGATATTATATAAACTTTCTTTTGTTAAGTTTTACAGCCAACGCATATATGGCATGTAATATACATACCGGTTGCTGTCTCCAATTTGTCTTTAATTTTCTTTTAATTTAATTTTCTGAGTGTTTATAGTGTGGTATGGGGTTTCATTGCAGAACCAACGTTTCTTTTCCTGAGTACTACATGTACTTGAAGTTTTTTTTGACACCACGTTTACATGTGTTAAAACCACCATATCCCTAAGTGTTCATTTTTGTTCTTCGCTAGTAGCCTGAAGATTTTAGATTGTAATCAAAGGCCAGCTGTCTGTGAGCATTATAAAACATAGCTTTGTTACAGGATAACATTACAGACTCGATATGATTTTCAAACTGATAGACGTATAGGGGTGTTTTGAAGTGATGCATTCAACTGAAGTCAACAGTTCATATAACACCCATAACAACTCTAGTCTAGTGAAGCATACACCAGGAGACAAATACAATGTATACAGGATATGTGACAGCTTTTATAACATTTTTGTACATTTTAATTTTACATGATCGAGTTACACGAATAATTTGTGAACTCACTGTAAGCCTTTAAAGCTGCTACACATAGGGCGACCCAGTAAGGTCTTTGAGCACCCATTGACCCGGTTTCTGCAGAATGATGTGACTGCATGACGAGACAAATTTACAAACAAAAAATTTGGGTATCGAAAATATTTTTCTCAAAAAGTACCCGCGGTGAAACACCACATAGGATTTTTACTTTTAAGTTTGCTCTTCTAATCTGAATAAATTTGAATATGCAGATAAAAAAAAAAATTCCGCAAGTTCTGTTACACTTGTTTGTTACACAAACACTTTCCGATCGTTGTAATAATAATAATAATAATAATAATAATAATCTTTATTGGAAAATCGCAACCCGAGGTTGAAGTTATACAATTATGTAAATTTATCTATTTAAATGAAATGAATATTCATATTAAGGAAGCCTGGTCATTTTTGCACTGGTGCACTCTGTAGACGGTCTCACCTCCCTGGGGAGGATACAGCTCGGCTGCCATATTAGGCGCTCAGAGCTAATATATCATTTCTGCACTGCATGACCAGGCCCCTGCTTCAACCCCTTAGTGCTGAGTGCCAAGCAGGGAGACAGCAGGTACCGTTAAAAAGGACTGGTATGTCCCCGGACGGGTTTTGAACCCACGTCCTCCCGCTCCGGAGGCGGACACTCTAACCACAAGGCCATCTGGTTGTACCTTATACATTACTGTGAAATTGCCCTCTTCCTTCTATTTTTATAGTTTACATATTTTATCCCCAACCCTTAGCCCAATTTTAGATCCGTCAGTTCAGTGTTCGATAAACTGTCATACGTCCAATAACACAAAGGGTCCTCGGATGAGTCTTCACTGCATGCTTATGAAAAGCTTACCTCGAAATAAAGTTATCTTGGGGGGCGCATACCTCGCTTTTGAAGACCTATGAAAGGCAGCCTTTATTTGTATATGAAACAGTCTTACCTAGTTGTGCAAGAGATGACTCCGGGAAATTTTCATCCTGCTGAAAGCACAAGATTGTTGTCCCCCAAGATGTCTCGACGCCCGCCATGAGTAATAATATCACAACGGATATCCCAAGCACAACCCAGCCCCTGTACAGAGAAGATACCATCGCTCTCTGGTGTCAGACTGTCGTCGTAATCAAGTTGTAGAGAAGTTGTAGAGTATGAGTAAAAACGGGACGTCATTTATCTCTCTCGTCCAATCAGATTGCAGCATTCTATTCACAGCGGCGTCCTTTGAAAACCTGACCCTCATAATCGGTCTAATCCTCCGCGTGACTCGAGACAGAGAAGCTGAACGAGTGCGTGCACATGGTATAGTCGTGTTTTATGCAAGTTTTTGGAAGTTAAAGTTGAAATAAATTTGAGGCTTAATTAGGTCTACAACATCTTGTCGATATCAAGTGAAGAAACCGGATCGAAGATATTTCTAGTACTTCGTTGTGCAAGATATTCCTATATACATGTAGGGCTTGTTTTTTTTTTTTTTTTTTTTTTTTTTTTTTTATCGAAACCGAACATTGATCAACGCAAAATAAATTCGATACATGCAAAGTTCAGTTTTGAATAAAAGCAGATACAATTTTCTGACTGTTTCTGATCGTAGATCGACCGTCTACATGTGCATTTTCTTCAATAAAACCATAACTCTTTTGAATTAACATCAATATCAAAGTCCTTTAAGTAAAGAAAGCAGAGCACTTGTACATTTTGAAATAACCATTTCTTCCCTCAAAGTAGTGTATTTAATAAGACATGAAGTAAGGTCCAGTGACGTGACGATCTGGCTGCAAGAAGCCGATTGACGTAGGGTCAACGGGAGGTGCGTCTTTGGTAATGTGCAATTCAACCGCGATTAACTCTGCTTTGTGCAAAATATCTTCTCCTTGGGCATGGAGATCGTTTTTCCAGTAGATATTCACAAGTGAGAGAGCCTTTTTTTGTCAAAACAAGGCTGTGAATGACGAGGTCTCCTTCTCCTCCTTGGGTAATCTGATAGATGACTTTTACAGTGGGTGGCCATATTAATGTGCTAAAGCAGCCTCGTTTATTGTATCATGCCGTAAATCTACGTAAATTACTGCAGGTCTGGTAGAGCTGGTTCAAGTTTTGATAAATCTTTTTTGCTTGGAAGGTGGAGGAAATATCTGAACCCTTGATCCTTGTTTTGTTTACTTTATATCTGACAGCCCTGAAAAAGCGATGTTGCCACTTTTCCAGCGAGTCCGGCAACGACAGTATCGCCCTATTCGCCGGGAGAGGGTCATCTCTGAATCAAATTTTGATCTAATTCCTATGCTATATCTCAGACTGGGTCAATGCAGTGGGTTAGTTGGCCTAACAACCCGTTGTGATATGAATGTAACTAGCAAAAAAAGATTGTAGTATGGATTTATCCTTAGCATTTGTTGTCGAGTAAAGGCGTTTATAAATCTACGTAAAATAAAATCGATAAAATCAACGTTGAATACTGAATAAAAAAGACATTTTATCATGACAGTCCCTGCTCGGTTTTACCTCGACCGGGTCCATAGCACTAAACCGGTATTAAGTTTATGCAATATCAAATCCCTTAAATTAAACGAAAAAACATGGAATAAACTTCTCATGGGAATGTAACGTAGCGGTGGCCTTCAAAGAATAAATACAATAATAAATACTGGTATATAATAAACCACTCAACAGTAGATCACTTAATTAACACTATCATAAAGAATATACACGTGTAAAAGATCATAAACAACTTACATAAACATATAATTATCTGCTTTGCACGTACATGTAAAGAAACCCGCTTACGACGATGTAAATACTCACATAATATTAACTCAATCCCATTGCTCCGACTAACGCTAAAATAGACAGACGCCGCGGTATGCTAAAATGGCGAAGCAATATATAACAAGTACAAATACATCAAGTAACTTAGAACTTATAAATTCTAAAATACATAGCATAATATGTTTACTAATAATTTTGAATTATACAGAAATAAAGACATACAATGAAGCTAACTAAAGCTAACGCCGATATTTTACATTTCCCGTTTTTTATTGTTTTAAATCAGCTTAGTGGTAGATGAATTACTAATTAACTAGATGCAGGAAAATCCTCGTTTTCGGAATCTGGATGATTATAAACTCTTACAGTACCTTTACATGAGAAGTGAGAGTCAATGCTTTGTAACGTATAAAAAAATACTAGTGTCATTTTCTTACACAACATAATGAATTCTTAGAATGAAATTTCGGACAAATTTTGACTGCTCAAAGCTAAGAAGCAACACGAGGAATCTGATTTTGTAGTATTTACTCATACAAAATGCTATTCTTCATCAGTTCTATACTTTTCAAGTTCCTCCACTTGTTGATGAATATAATTACACCCGTTGTTAGGACAAACACAACGAAGCATGACGCAATAGATAGAAACACTACGTAGTAACTCCTTGTGACGTCACGGATATAACCTGAAGAAGTAAAAGAATGGATATAGATATCTACATACTGTCTAAAGCCTAGGTACCAACTACGTTTTGAACTCACGGTTTTTAGGTTCCTTGCGTCCGGCTAGGACGTAGCTAGATCGCAGGGAAGAAATAAAGTAATTGGTGAAAAGTTTCTACGTGCTGTTTGCGACCTCCAAAAGTCGCACGATGGACGTGCTCCACACGCACGAACTCCCACGTTTAGCCTAGGTCCCAACTACGTTTTGAACGCACGGTTTTTAGGTTCCTTGCTTCCGTCTAGGACGTAGCTAGATCGCAGGGAAGGAATCGGGAAGGAGTTCGTGCGTGAGAAGCACGTCCATCGTGCGACTTTTGGAGGACGCAAAACAGCACGTAGAAACTTCTCGACATGATCAACAGTTGCTACGTGCGATCTAACTACGTCCTAGCCGGACGCAAGGAACCAAAAAAAAACCGTGCGTCCAAAACGTAGTTGGGACCTAGGCTTTTCCCCCATTTTTTTTGGCCGTAGACCACACGTAGCAGCCCGTACGTTCTGTTGGGACCTAGGCTTAAAGCAGCACAAGCTTCTCTCTTTCTCTCATGAGTACATTCAGAACAGCGGGCTAACAGATGCGCCGATCAAATATGGCGACCCACTAAAAAACTACCCACGTAATTCCCGATTAGACAATGAGTAGATTCTCCATGGGGATTACGCAACAAGCATGCAAGTGGGTCGGCTTTATTTGATCCGCGGATCTGTTAGTCCGCTGTTCTGAACACTCTCTC